TCCAAATATGTCCGACGCATCATGTGATTTATTCGAGCACATGACCGTAGAAGTACACAAACACAAACACATACACACATACCAAAAAGAAATATATATATATATATATATATATATATATATATACTCTAATGCAATATGGCTGATCCAACAAGGAAGTCTTTCTCCGAAACACCCATGTCTGAAACTTTAAGGAATGATTTGGGACGAGTACTTTATACCACACCGATATATCTATCTATCTATCTATCTATCTATATATATATATATATATATATATATATATAACACAAGTACACGCACATACTTACATAAATACATATACACAATCACGCAAACATATTTTTGTAACGTGCTTTATTGATATGGAAGAGTGCTCAATATCGGAGAGAGAGTGGGGAATCAACTTTATATAACTGTAAGATGAATTGGTATGGAATCGCTTGAGGTGGGAAATTGACAGTCATCTTGCAGCGCTGATTCCAATATCTACACTCTCTATATCTATATTATATTCTTTCTTTCAAAACCAATTTCACTGTGTACAAAACTTTATTTTTTTGTCATAAATCAAAAACATATATCGGGCTTACTACTACCTCCTTAACTATACGCCTCACATGTCACTTATCTGTTCAAAATGTAATAAAAATAAATCTAGCCAACCTACGATGTACTTTTCTTTCTTTTTATTTTTATGTGCTATGTCCTTTCAAGATGTAGACGATCATGGCTCTCCACCTCCCTCTGTCCCTTGCAGCTCTCAGCAAGATCCTTCCCTCGGCTTCCTCCCCCAAACCACGTTCTGCCAACCACTTAAGTCTGCCAGGTAAGTCACGCGTTGTTTTTCCTTATCTCTGTTTCCTTCTATTCGACCCATGAGTATCATATTCTCCAGGCCTACCTTCCTCATTATGTGTCCAAGAAACTTCAGCTGCCTCTTCTTAATATTAAGTATAAGCCTCCTCCTTGTTTGCAACCACTCTAAAATCTCATCGTTGTTCACACGCTCGGTCCATGATATCCATAGCATCCTTCTGTAGAACCACATCTCTGTCACCTTGAGTCCTTTCTTCATCTTCGAGGAAATCGTCCAACATTCGCTGCCGTAAAAGAGGACAGATGTTTCCCTTAATGAAAAATCCTGGCCGAAAACACAAAATTTATCAAATTACCGGAGACATCTCGTTCTGATAGTGGCACTCTATATAAAACATCTCGCTCCCACTATCAATCTCACCTTAATCAGCAGTGGTAATGGGAACCTGAAAGTTTTTGTTTTTTTTTAAATAGAAAGATATCCACTTGAATTCCAACCACGCTAAACAGGAAAAGATTGGAATAAATACTCCTACTATCAGGTCATCCCATAAGTTCTGTCCGAATTTTGAATAAAGAAAACAAGTGACCAAATGTTACATTTAATTACAGATTCAATCAACAATGTATTTTCCCTGATTATCTATGACTTCCTTCCATCTATTAACAAGCTTGTAAATCTGTAAAATTCTTTTGGCTTTGATTCGAAGAAATCACAAATATCAGTTTTAACCTCTTCCTGTGTTACAAATGCTGTTTCTTCCAAATGATTCTGTATGATATGAAACAAATGGTAGTCTGAAGGAGCAAGATCGGGAGAATAAGGTAGATGAGGAATTTTCTCCCAACCAAGTTCTTCGATCTTTTGTGACGTGATTCTTGCTGTCCTGATGAAACATCACCTCTTTTCGATTCACAAGAGCAGGCCTTTTTTTTCCTCAAAGCTTGGTTCAAACGCTCTAATTGCTGACAGTATATTTGAGCATTAATTGTTGCATTAGGTGGTAAGAATTCAAAGTGGATTATTCCTTGGCGATCCCACCAGATTGAAAGAAGAACCCTTTGCCCATGAAGTTCCCTTCTCTGCTGTACTGGGGTCCTTCCACTTTACCAAGCCACTGTCTACGACGCTTAAGATTTCAATAAATGATCCATTTTTCGTTGCCAGTCACAAGTCTATACAAAAACGGTGAAACAAGTTAGCGAGAATGGAGAGAAGAGCAGATGTCAACTCGGGATTTGAGGTTGTTTTCAGACAATTCATGAGGCACCCATTTTCCAAGTTTCGGAACTTTTTCAAGTTGTTGAAGATGACGATGAACAGTTGTATGGTTTGAACTGAGAACCACTGACAATTCCTCAACTGATAAAGCAGAATTTTCTTCAAGGGCTGCTTCAAGAAGCTTTTTATCAAACTCAACTGGACGTCCGGTTCGATCTTCATCTTTAAGGGTGACATCTCCATCTCTGAATTTTGCAAACCATCTTCTGCAAGTTCTTTCATTCACACATTCCTCTCCATAAACTGAGTGAATGTTTCTAGCCGCTTCGGCTGCTGAGTTTTCTTTCTTGAACTCATAAAGCATTATGTGCCTCAAATGATTCTTGGGTACTTCCATGTTAGCAGGGTTTTAATGAAAAAATTTAATTTTAATGTCCTCTGAAATAAAATTTGATCAGTTTAAATGCATCTAAACATAAAAATCATGTTCAGCTCCATTAGACATTATAAAATACTCTTTGAATTTCGTTCATTTTAACAAAAAGTTAAAATTCGGATAGAACTTATGGAATGACCTGATAGTTTCCAAAACAAAACAAAAAGGCATGTTAAACAGTCTAACACGAAGAGAAATTAACAACACCGAAAAAAAGACCCCATGAAAATGGCTAAAGAAATGTCCAAAAGCGCTTGGGACAATGGACACTATTTTTATTCCAGCTTTATTATAAACTTTGAAGTGGTTGTAATTCGACTAATCATGGTTTTGGTTAATCAATATATAGTTTAATTAAGATTTGATGATTGTATGGAAAAAAAGTAACACATTTTAAAAATACTATCTTAGGAGTTCACTTACTTTTTCAGCATCTCTGTATATGTACAGGGTGCGATGGGCAATTCTGCGCATGCGCGTTGTTTATTTTTATTTTGTCAACTGCACAGTATTGTAGGGTTAGCTGGGCACCGTCTGTGAGAAAAAAAAAGCATCATGACGCAATTCACTCCGCCAGAAATTTGGAAACAGCATGCGATACTACTTCGCATTCACGCCAGAAATCCCAATACAAACATTTCAGTGTGTTTGAGTCACTGAGAACAGTGCAAAGGATTCGGGAAGAGTTGGATGAGTCTAATGAAGAATACAAAGTTGATCACTAGTTTTTGTTTTTTTATGGCGACGTTATGCTTCCATTCATCATTTCACAGAACCTCAGACTAAACACGGATGCCTACATCAAGTGTCTTGAAGGAGTAGTACTACCCTGGGTCAAGAGGGTGGCTGCTGGAAGACGCCATGTCTAGTAACAGGACGACTCTGCAGCATGCCACGCAAGCAAGAGTCATGGCTGTCAAACAATTCCTCCCACCTCATAATTCTATACAACTGATCCCCTAACTCCCCAAACTGAAACCCATTTTATTAATATGTGTGGGGAGCAGTTGAGCCAGAGACCAACAAAACTCTTTGTTACACAAAAGAGGAACTGAAAGCAAGGATTATGGCAGCATTCACCAACTTAAACAAGGAGACCGTCCAGAAGAGGTTGTTGGAAAATATCTGAAAATCTTTTCCCTACCGTGTCCCTTCAGTATGTGGGCGATCATGGATCTCTACAACTTCTTGACCCTTGTAACTACAAAGAAAAACTATTGACCTCCTAACATTAGTTTGTTTCTCGTTATATGTCATTGCCCTCTTGCATTCAATACGTTCTGCGTTGAATACTTCTTTCCTTCTCTTAGTATTTATCGATCCACCCAAGAAGATTGAATATGGCACAAGGCCGGTTTAATGTGAGTATCTCCGAGTCCGTAGGCTCGGCCAAAAATATAGCCTTTGAACCCGCCTAGACGGGTTCAGGCCCTGTCTACCTCCCCGGACGAAATCTTGCCCTTCGGCAAAGCTTCGTCCGGGTTCCTCTCTGCTAACGCAGAGGGTTCGACAGACGTCGCTTACAGTCAAAGACTGTATCACGACTCAGCTAGACTCGGAGGTCTTACCCTCTCTGTCTATCTGTCTTCTTTCCTTCTCTTGCGTACCAGGAATTATTTCTAACACAAACTACTTACATATCACTGACACCAATGTTTCTTTTCTATCACCAAGTGATTTCCAGTACATGAGCATATATATATATATATATATATATATATATATATATAGAGAGAGAGAGAGAGAGAGAGAGTGGGGAGGGAGCATGTTTGTGTGTGTGTGCATGTGGGCGGATGTATGTGAGTTCGTGTTTATGCCAGAACATCGTATCAATGAACTATTTGATAAAATGTATAGTTGTTAGTAAAAAAGGCAGCCAATGTTGTGTAGCTACGTATTGGGGACGTGAAAATCAACCACGTACAGAAGTTTAATTGTAGTGACATGCGACGCACTGGAATTGTCTCCGGAAACTAAAAAAAAAAAGGTATTTAGTAGATAGAAGAGACTAATGAACTGATGTCCTTCTGCCATACTCACCAATGCCTCTCACTATTACTAACAGCATTTTCTGAATATTTGTTTTTTGTTCTGACATTTGGAAATATCTCTTTGCATAGCTATTGACTGTTGATCCAGACTGGATCTTTGTCTAATTTCTTGCTTTATAGGCTTCTTTGTTGTGCCTAGATGGTTGCTTGCGTATCATTTCGCCGATTTGTTACCGGCCTAATGTTTTTCCCCCTCTGTGTTGTCGCACTACTGACCAAGATGAATCTTGAAAATACGTAAAAGTCTGTTCAGATTGAATTTATCATGATTTTTCTCTCACACTTCTAATTCATACGGATTCCTGAATTTAGAATCTTGTGTTGCATGTAAGAAGCTTTAGCAAATCGATCTACAGCAGCCATTTTTTTTATTTTTATGCCCAGAAAATTTGCTTTCCTTGTATTTTATATATTAATCATTGTCATCGTTATATACGTAAATTTCCGGCGTTTTTTTTTTCTTTTTCATAAAATGGTGCTCGGTGAAGCGTGTCTTTCTTATTCTTTCTTGCTTTATTTTTTTTCCTTCTTTTTTCTTTTCTTTATTCCTTTCTTTAATATTTCGTCTTCATTTCTTTCTTACATGACGTTATTTTTTTTATTTCTTTCTCTTTTTCTTTCTTTTCCGTATCTCTTTCCCGCCATTTGTATTGCCTATATTTCTTCCTCATATTTCTAGTTTTCTTTATTTCATTTTCATTCGTTTTTTTCATTTTCATTTTTTTTTTCATTTGTTATTTTTAATTTGCTTCTTCTGCCAACAAGTTTTATTCCCAGTGTTTCTTGGTTTTCTTTTTTTTTTTCACTTAGTTGAATTCTTTCTTTCTTTCTTTTTTTCTCTTTCTTTCTTTCTTTCTTTATTTATTTATTTTTCTGTTTCTTTCTTTCTTTCTTTCTTTCTGCCATTCTTTCTTTCTTTGCTTATTTTTCTTTTCGCTTTTCGTCCTTCATTCTTTCTTTCTTTCTTTCTTTTCTCTTTTATCCTTTCGTCTTTTCGTCCGTTTTTCTTTCTTTTTTTAATTTCTTTCTTTCTCCTTGTTTATTTTCTGTTTTATTGTTATTTTTTTTTAAATCTTATCTTTTTTTTTATTCTCGTTTTTTTTTTCCTTTCTGATTATTTTACTTTTTCTTTCTACATTTATTTATAGCTGGATTTCGTTCTTAGTATCATTTATACGCATTTAGTTTAATTCTTTGCCTTGATATTAATAAAAATTATAAATTTTATTTTACCTTCTCTTTCCTTCTATAGTTTCTTCAGTTCTAAACTTTCATTCTTTGCTGTTCCTTCATTTTGCCCTTTACCCTTTTATCGTTCATTATAGATATTTTTATATGAGTTTTTTTTTAATCATTTTATACTCTGTGTGTATTATTTCTTTGTTTTTCAATTATCTTTCTTCTATTTACAATTATAAGTCTTTCTTTTCCAGCTTTTTATCTTTTATATTCTTTCTTTATTTTCTCTTTTTTTCTTTTCTGCTTTTCGTTCTGTTTTCATTTCATCTTTTTGTTCATCTTTCTATCATTTTCATTTCTTTCTGCTTTCTTTCTTTCTTTCATCGTTTTGTTCTTTTTTTTTTCTTTTTCACTTTTTCATTTCGTCTTTCCGCCTTATTTTATTCTTTCATTCTTGATTGCTTTCTTCCTTACTTTTTTCTCATTTTTCATTTACTCTTTTCATCCTTCTCTTTTCCTCTCTTTTGTATCTCACATTTTTCTCCTTTCTTTCTTTCTTTTTTCTTTTTCATTTCGTCTTTTCTTTCTCATTTTTTCTTTCTTTCTGTTTTTCTCTATTTTCATTGCTTCTCTCTTCGTCATTCTTTCTTTTTTTCTTTCGTTCAATCTTTGTTTCATTTCTCTTATTCATTCCGTCTTTTCTTTTTTTCCTTCCTTTTCTTTCTTTCTTTCTTTTTTCTTTATTTCTTTGCTCTTTTTTCATTTCGTCTTTTTTTTCGTACTTCCTTCTTTCTTTCTTTCTTTTACTTCGTTATGTATTTGCTTTCTTTCTTTTGTTCTTCATTAGTTTTCTTTCTGCCTTCTGATAGTTTTCATTTTCTTACAACCACATATATTCTTTTGGATTATTATTATTATTATTATTATTATTATTATTATTATTATTATTATTATTATTCAAATAACAAAACGCATGATGAAAACAAAAAAGATAAAATAAAGGACGAGATAGAAAAAAAAGAAAATAAGAAATCAAAGAAGAAAATACCGCCGACAAATATTTAATGAAGCGTCAAAGCTAATGTTGAAAAATTGCATTCTAAGTAAGCACATATTCCACCGTTCACACCACGAAAGAAATCATTCATTTTCACACACAAAAAGGTTATAAATATACACAATGTAAAAAAGGAATAAAACCAACAAAAAAAAATCGAAGCCAAAACAAACTATGATATTTATGTTGAAACTGCAAAATATTGAAATCTATAATCTATATCATTTTGATGTTGTCTAATGGAAGGACACATACAAAAACACGCAAACACATAAACACTCTATATTCTCGTTGCGGATCTATAATTATACATACGATGACTGTCGACTCGTTAACCGAATATGACCATGACTGACAAGTTTGATCTATGTTTTTGGTTCTAGTGAGGACCTCAATGGCTCTTAACGTCAGCAAATGATTTGCAGTGCTTATTACAGATGTTACACGCAAAGTTGTTTTGTACATAGATGTTTTATAAAGTCTGTTCTGCTTGCTCGTGTGTTTTTTTCTGTGAGAGGTGTGACCATAGCTGTTTCTATATTTTTCTAACCCACCCTGCTTGTTAAGTTATTTCCAGCGTAGTACTGATCGTAATTTACGTAAGGTATACCAATATGACTCTCGTAATGGTTAACGAGGCCTACATAATGAAACACACATACACAGATACTCACATACATAGATGCATACATATTTCGTGTTATTATAAACGTTATTTTTGTTTAGAGGGTGCATTTTATTTTATATTTTTTATTCAAAAACAAGTGTTACAGATATATCATATATTAAACAGAGCAGAAGAGTATTACACGACTAGTGAATGTGTGTCAGATGAACCAGCATTCAATCTATTCGACTGTTAATATTTAACAGCCCCCCACCCCCTACGAGGGATATATGTGGAACAAGGCCGAAATTACCGTGGGTTCGGACAAAGACATTCCCGTAGAACCCGCATAAGCAGGTCCGGGCCTGTCTACCTCCCCGGACGAAACTATTCCCTTCGGCGCAGATTCATCCGGGTTCCTCTTTGCTCAAGGCAGACAGTTCGACAGTAATGAACAATCTGGTCGACTGTTCACCTAAGTACTTCTCTCCTACTAATATTATAATAGATGGATAAGGTTAAACATAAACTCTTTAGAGGGAGGACACCACAGCCTCCCCTTTTCAGCCTAACTCCTTATGGAGCCTTTTTTTATAATTACAACACAATGTTTTTTATTCAACCAAATAAACCATTTTTCACAAAAAAACAACAACAAAAAAAAAACAAAACAGAAATAACCACATTGAATAAGTTTAATGGTAAATTATAATGTTAATAATTTCCAATAATCCAATGCGTATTGTGCTGTTCTGGTAATTCAAAGTTCATTAGTAAGGAGATAGGTTTTTTTACTCATTCTTTTCCTTTTTCTGTAGACATGGTATGAAATGAAAGATGTTCAATATCTTTTTCTTTTCGGGTTAATTTCTAAAGGTTCCGTAAATTTCCTTTTTCTTTTGTGCCTTCTGAGCTCTGACACTGATTGCGGTACTGGAACCTCAAACGTGTCAAAGACGACGTCCATAGTATCATCTTCTATGGGATCCCTGTCGGCTACACTTTCATACCGTTTTCTAATTTGGTTTACATGATGTTTGTGTATAAACTTCAGTCCCTGAACCATGTAAATCATGTTAACAATTTGTCTGTCTGTTGTTCTTATCTCGCAGTGAAATTTATTATTCCCAAATACACGAAAAAAAAAAAAAAAAACAATTATTTCACCGATCTTAAAGCGCATTTTAAGTAATTTATTCCTATGTCCCGTTTTCGTTTCACTCGGAAAGAATTTTTCAAATGCCGATTTTATTTTCCTGGCAAACATGACCACCTCTGGCGTCTTGGCATGTGGAGCACTGCTATTAGGGGTTACACGATAGACCTGCAAAAACTGCTGTATAGCCGTATCGATCGGAGTACCTCTCGCCTGTCTCATTGCTCTCTTGAAATCACCCCCAAAACGCTCTGCCTGTCCATTACTTCTTGGGTGATATGGCGCCGTGGTAATACGTTCGATGAGGAAAGACTGACATAAATCCTTAAATTCGCAGAATGTGAACTGCGTGGCATTGTCTGTTATGATACAGTCATCAACTCCGAAACAGGAAAATAGCTCGTGCAAAAACTTTACTGTTGCCTCCGTTGTCGGCTTCTTGTATTTCCAAATTTCTAGCCACTTGGAATAACTGTCAACTACTACAAGGTACTAAAAACCATCAAGTGGGCCTGCAAAATCAATGTGTATCCGCGACCACGGACGGTCGGTTTTAGGCCAGGGATTGAATTTTAGTAGCCAAATCACACCCTTGGCACGGTATTACAGTGTTTTCAATATCCTTGTCCATGTTGATCCAATAGACGTAACTCCTCATCAGACTCTTCATTCTTGAAGTTCCCGGATGGCCAACTTGAAATTCCTTTAATGTTCTTTTCTGTAGTGTAGATGGGATTACTACTCTCTCTCCGTAGATTAGTATGTCATTACAGAGTGAGTAAACTTCTGAGATATTCTGGTCTTTACTATTTAGTTTGTCCTTTACTTCCTTTATGAACCCATCATCGGACGCTTTGTCTATTATCTCGTCAATTCTTATAGGGATCTCCCCGACAGTATTGCACAAGTTACTTTTTATTTCGACCTTTGTTCTTATGGCAGCAATGACTGTGTCTTCCAAGGGTTCAGCATATTTAGGTATCAATCTAGACAACCCGTCTGCATGACAGACTTTAGTGGATAGGAGAAACTCTATTTTGTAGTTATAATTCAGGAGAATGGTTCCCCATCATTGCAGTCTATTAACAGTATGTGTTGGCAGACCCTTTTTTGATCCAAAGATAGTAAGTAGTGGACGATGATCTGTCTGCAATAAAAAGTACCTTCTATGATTAAATCTATGAAATTTAGTCACCGCAAAAATGATTCCGAAGGCTTCCTTTTCTATTTGCGATTAACCTCTTTAAGCTGGTAATAGCGTCCTAAATGCATGGTGATTGGCTTTACCTATCCATTCTTTAACTTGTGTAAAATGCACGCCCCGATGCAGTAGGAGCCAGCCTCGCTGGCTACAATGATGTCAAGGTTTGGATTGTAATGAGTCAAGAACAGATCTGATGTAAGGACCTCCTTTATTTTCTCAAATGCTTCCTGGCATTTGGTCGTCCATTCCTACTCTTTATCTTTTCTCAATAATTCATTAAGTGGAGCTATCAAACTGTGCATTCTTGGGACAAAAACGTTGTAATAATTGACAAGACCTAAAAGACTTTGAAGAGCTGACACGTTTTCTGGTGGTGGCATATTCTTTATTGCCGTCGCCATATCTGTGTTGGGACGTCTTCCGTCAGTGTCAATTATAGCTCCAAGTACTTAATCCCCTCTAAGAAAAACTCACATTTCCCGTCTTTTAATTTGAATCCGTATTCCTGGATTTTTTATGAACATTTACTAGACGTGCGATTTGTGTTCCTCGTTGCTCTCGCTTTTCATTAGGACGTCATCGAGATAGGCCACCGCAAAATCCAGACCATTTAACATCGTGTCCATGATCTGTCGATAAATGGAAGGGCCGACCTTAAACTCGAACGGAAGTCTTAAAATTTTTTTATAAACCCTTGTCGGTGTTTATGCAAAGGAGCTTCGAATATTCCTCATCCACGGGTATTCAATATATTTCCTGATGTTACGACTTTCTGGTTCATCAGTCTTGGTAATTTTTACAAAACTTTTTTTGTCTTGTTCTTAATCCCGCAGAGGGAACTTTTGTGTCCCGATTTAAAACATTTTTTATCTTTAAAAGGACAATCTCCATAGTAATATAATTGACCACACCCGAAACATGGTCTTGACGGCAAAGTAACTTCATTATTTTTTGGCTGACCCTTTTTAATATTTCTATGGCGTATTTTTTTTTTAATGTAGTCACGCCATTCTTTTCAGATTTTGCGAATCCTCTCTGACCCTCACGAAACATTAGCAATCTTCGGCAACTTTCTGTAAAATAACGTTGTGAGTACCCTACGACGTATTTCGGCGTCTTTCGCCGAAATCAAACCCTGGACGAAGATCAGGCATATATATATATATATATATATATATATATATTATAATCATTTCACCTAAACCAAGGAGATAATGCCGCAAAGATGCAAGGGGCTACTGGAAGTGAAAGAGAAAATAACGATTTCGGATGACAGCGGAAACTCAATGCTAAACAGGAAACAAAAAGAACGAAAAGGAGTCTAAACCGGACAATAGGTTCAAATATATATATATATATATATATATATATATATATATATATATATATATATATATATGGAATTGTTCTAGGCTGTTAGTATATTTATTGTCAGTAATGTCATTGGCTCTCTGTAGATGAGCTGACGAACCATCAGATCTTGCAGTACTTGGAAGCAAGCACAAATCTGGGGAAGAAAGAAAAAAAAAGCGATCTTCCACTGCGTTGTTTGTGTCGTATGTACGAGTCAAACGGCGTAAGTTGAGACAAGATTAATAGAAATTTCATCGCAACTACGAACCCTTTTGGGACGATACTGTTGTAACCCGGAGACTTAGTTTAATATTTGACATAAAGATCTCTAAAAAAAATAAAAAATAAACAACGAACACACTTTCAATACACCCTAGTTTATTTAACAGTATTAAAATAAACAAAAGGCTTTTTCCACGATTCTGAATAATGTGAGTTGTATATAAAAAGAAAACGCCATCTTTGGTGATGAAAAAAATCCTGATATCTGAAATGATATTTTCACATTTGTATGTATTTTTTTATTTTTTATTTTTTTTCACTTTTTTCTCTCCCATGGCAAATATTTTTGTCTCTTCTTTAATATTTGCTTTCCATATTTTTTTCTTTTTTTTTTACTCTTATTTTGTTCATTAAGAAATGGTCTTTATTCCGAATGGTATCTCTCTTATTAAGTCGTCTGTATCTTCTATATATTTTAAACTTGTACTGTTTTTTTTTCTCTGTACGAATTGAAAATATTCGAATGATAAATACAATATGAGTAAGTATAAATATACCACACAGATTTGCAGGGAGATCGGTGAAGTTATCTTTGCGCATTTGCACCAATATTTGCCAGATTTCTGCAAGAACGAATATGACTATCATTTATGATGTTCAATGCGTAAGATGCAGAGGAAAACGTTTGCTCACAAGGAAAAAAATGACCACAATTTTACACCGTTGATTATACTGAAGACCGGAAATTAATGTATGACAATTGGCAAACTATTAATATCAAATGGCGCTGCATCGTCTTTTATATTTTCATGTCAGTTCTCTTCATTCTTCATATCTCCCTTTTGTATCTTCTTTCTTTCTTCCTTTTTCCTTTCTTCTTGGTTTTTGACTTTCTTTTTTTCTTTATTACTTTTATTCTATTTTCATGCTCTTTGGCTTTTTCTTTCTTTCTTTCTTTCTTTCTTTCTTTCTTTTTTGTACTTTCTACTCATTCTTTCTTATTCTTTCTTCGTTTTTGATTGTCTTGCTTTTTTTTTCTTTTCCTTTCGGATGATAGCGGAAACCCAATGCTAAACAGGATTTTATATTCTGTTTCCTATCTTTTTTCTCTTTTTTATTAATTTCTTGCTAGCCTTCTACTCATCCTTCCTCCTTTTCCTTCTTTTTTCTTACTTTCCTCTTAGTTTTTATGATTATTATTATTATTATTATTATTATTTCATTATTCTTTTTTTGGTTTCTTACTTCTCATTTTTTTTCTTCCTTTATTGTTTGTTTTCTATCTTTCCTCTTTTTTCTTGTCATTTATTATTTTGTTTTTTTTTTTCATTTTCTTGCATTCTTTCTTTGTCGCTATTGCGTTTATTGTTCTTTGTTTTTGTCGATTTTCTTTCTTTGTTTCACGCTTCCTACATATTCTTTATTTCTTTCTAGATTTTTTTCTTTTAATTTTCTTGCTTTGTTTCTTTGTCTTTATTGCTTATAGTTATTTCATTGCTTTTAGAATTTTTCTTTACTTTTTCTTTCTTTCTTTCATTTGTCTTCTTTTTCGTCTTCCTTTTGCCAATTAAAAGTTGTCATTTTCTCTTTAAATTTATATATATATATATATATATATATATATATATATATATATATATATTAATCATTATCTCCCTTTTCTTTCTCTTTCTAACTTTATTGTTGTCTCCCCTTCGCCTTTCCTTTTTCTTTATCCACTTGATATTTGCATTTCCTCTTATATTCATATGAAATATATATTCTCTTATATCATTACCTTTTCGCTTTCTTTCTTTCTTTCTTTCTTTCTTTCTTTCTTTGAGGATTTAACTCTCCTTGTTTTATGAGGTGCTGCGGTATGAGTTGACTATTACGATTGAGGAATGAGGATGATACTCACTGAGTGCCCAAAATAAAATTCGATTTTAAGTAAGATAAGTGACGTGTCGCAAAATACAACAAGCTATAATATTTCCTTTTCCTATCGTCAAAAAGATTTGTAGGAAAATTATTTTTATTATTATAAATATATAAAAATAAATTATAAAATAATAATAATAATAATAATGAAAACTATAAATAAAATAAAATAAAACAATAACATAAAAACGTTGTATTAAGTAAATTAAATGAAAAATAAAATAATAAAAATACTCCCAACAAAAGCAGTTCCTGCCCGAAATATGGACATCCGGCCAAAAGACGTTAAATTCAATCTCTTCACCAAGAACCTTTATACGGGCAACACGTGTCAAACTTCGCACTGTGATATGGCTTGCATTACTACGGAGTAAATTTCTTCGTTTTATCACTTGTGCCATAAAACAAGTGTAACCTAAAAAATAAAACCAAAAATACACGCAAAAATATAAATAAATTGAATGAATATAACATACAATTTACCATGTTTTCATATTATTTCTGCACGTTTTATTTTCTGTCAAGTATGATTTTATCTGCTGTTACGATGTGAGTGAATCCCCCACAAGGTTTTCGTAACCGACGACGTGTGTAACAAAAACAACCTATTCACCCACAGATTTACAAGGCCTAATTCGCACTGGCTCAGGATCAAATCTAGTGACGTTCGAACACATCTCCATAGAAGAAAGCAACAGAGATGAAATGGCTATCAATTGTCTGAAACATCCCTGACTCGATGACACTAGTGACATGTGTCGGTCTAAGATAACAAATTCACAATAATTCGACGGCAGTCTTTTGAGGATATTATCCGAGTTTGTTTTAATCTATTTACAGGATACAAATCATAATCCTACCTGGTCCTTTGAACAGGAGCAGAAGTTTATCCTTTGTTTCTTGTTCAGGATTGGATTTCCGGCTCCTTCTAAAGTATTTCATTCTGATTCACTCCCAGCAGTGCCTTGCGTTTTAGTGGCATTACTGCCTTGCTTGGTGTGAACTGAATAAAAAAATGTTTTTTTTTAAAAAGTACCTAGATATAATCGTTCTCTTAAACCTGCAATTGGTCTGCGAGACCTGCGTCCTTTCCTAATTTGTACATATCTATTCGTACATACATAGGATCACATACATAAACGTATGGGTATTTAGAAGTGGTGTAATGGTTTACAAGCCTGTCTCGCTAGATCAGCTTACAACCGACATGGTGCAAAAGTTAGCATGATTGTCACGCTATAAAATTTACAACTGAGCAGAGATTTCGATCCGCTCTAGATGCCCCATTCTTTTCATCTTGTGCCACAACTAATCTACGCTTAAAAAATCACCATAGGCATAAGCATCTCTTTTAATATTAATATATGGATTTCGAGTGTGTTTATGTTGAATTGGTGGGCTATGAAAAATATACTGCGTCGCCAGTTCGGTTTGCGTTTATCTGTGTGAATAGAAGTTTTTATATCATGCAGCTTGTATTCCAGTAATTTGCTCTGCAGAGAAAGAAATGCAATAAATAAATAAATAAATAAACTGAGAGCGAATGACAAGGGAGTGGAAAGGGCCGAATGAAATGGGGAATAAGTCGAAAGAGGCAGGAGGAAATAAAAGTTGTTTGGCTTGATAAATGCGTAGATCTTCTTCGAATGACCTCTCGACCAGTGCACGAGGTCGAAACGGTAGAGCAGCGAAAAATCTTACGAAAACAACGCATCGTGACTTGGGCAATGTAAACTTCCTGCTTCCATATCTAAAATTGGGATGACCCAGAGATTGCAGTGTCCATCTTTTTGGCCTCTCGCCTGAATAATGGCGGATATCAAAGCGTGTCGCTAAAGGATTTCCTTAGGTTTGATAAGTGGGACGGGTAAGGCTTCTGACATCCAGGAAATTGACTATGGGAAGAGAAAACAAATGGCATATATATATATATATATATATAGAGAGAGAGAGAGAGAGAAAGAGAGAAAAATGTGATAGGGAGAGAGAGAAATAATTTTATTACGCAGCAGAAGGAAGATAAAACTCATAAATATATTATTACATTCTTTCATAAATATATAGTCAGGCACAAGTAAACAAGTTTTGAGCCTCTTGCAAATGTGGAAATGAATACAGAAATAAGTATGCGTGCGAGAAAAACATACTAACAATCGATCCATTGCGAGACAATTTTCCCATTATACTATCTTTACCTCCCCTCTCCCATATATATATATATATATATATATATATATATATATATATATATATAGAGAGAGAGAGAGAGAGATAATATTAGTGGAAAATATACATACGTATACAAAATATATAAATACCCATACATGTATATTTTCAGAAAAAAATTCCAAGAGGAAGAATCCAGGTAGAACTCAATGTCTACGACATAGTAAGGATATAATAAAAGCTTAAACACTAATATTCCATAGAATATTAGTGTTTAGGTTTATTATATATATATATATATATATATATATATATATATATATATATATATATATATATATATATATATATATATATATATAGTTATCCATAGATAGACTGTTTCGCTGTATCACAGCTCATCAGTGTGACTAGACATCCGATTGCCACAAGCCGGTTTCGAAACCCGACTGATTTGGCACCCGGTAGAGAGAAGCGCGAATTCTGACGTATTTATTCTTCGCAAAGACACGCCAGTGACCGATAGGGCACGATTCATAGAAGATCTTTGCAGTATTAGCAGTAGTAGTCATTGTTTACAAATTCGCGATTTCTCTCAAGACCGGAATTAAATTTTCCGGGAGGGGGGCGTATATATTATCGTCCACAGCCATTGTTTTTTATCGCAGATTATATATATATATATATATATATATATATATATATATATATATATATATATATATATATATATATATATATATATATATATATATATATATATATATATTATATGTGTGTGTGTATATGGAATTTGTAGGTCTGATTGGATCGCAGATTATATATATATATATATATATATATATATATATATATATGTAATTTGTAGGTCTCATGAATTGTATCCTATTTACGATTCCAATGGAATAAATTATGACCATGGAATATTAGTGTTTAAGCCTTTTTATCATATCCTTACTTTGTCCTGGACATTGAGTTCTACCTGGATTCTATCCTCTTGGAATTTTTTATTCACAAAATATATATGTATGTGTATGCATGTATGTATATATATTTCGCATATGTATGTGTATATTTACCACATATATAATATATATATATATATATATATATATATATATATATATATATATATATATATATATATGTATGATATCAAAAAGTGAGTGTAGATGCTAATAAAATATAAAATTTATTATTGACGGTTCAAAATATGAAGTTGCTAAAGCCTCCCTGTGGAAGACGAGATCTGGTGTTGTAGCACGTGATTTAAAGGTTTGTCGAAATGTCGTTCCGCGCTTCTTTTTTTTTTTTTTGATTTCGCGCCGTTTTTCCTCTCGGTATAACTAAATCTATTAAAGTTAAAAGAGAAAGGTTCAACTTAGTAGGAAAAGAACATTTTCTTTTATAAGTGATGCTCACTCTGTCCAACCCAAAACCCACTCGATTTAGAGGCTTACGTTGCTTAATTTGGGAGGTGCTCGAATAAAAGATAATTTATGAGAGCAATACGTAAAATCACATCATTTGTCTTTCTTATATTTCAAAAGACGAACTATATATAAACATTTCCGTTTGAATTTCTGGAAGGTGGAGATAATCAATTGCACTATTTATATTCGTAATATTATCCTCATCATTGTTGTTGTTATTACAACGTTTCGTCTGTTGAGTCATCCGAACTTTCTCAGGTGTATATCGAACTGGGTGACCTACAGGGAATTGTACCCTCTATTTAATCTATGGATTTCGATGAGGACCCCTTAGTAGGTCTAGCATAAAAATAAATACAATATGGGAGTCGTTAAAAAAGAAAGAAAGACAAATGACAGCAAGTCGTCAATTGCAGCAGCAATCAAACATGGGCAGCAGCAGTCAAATGATGATCGGCAATAGCAGCATCAGTTGCAACCTAATCAGTAGCTAGGTTAAAATGAAGGTTCTCAGTTTCCTACAGCAAATTTTCCCACGGGACAAAGGCGTAGTGAGTGAATAAAAGCGCTGGTTTGTTAATTTAGTAACATAGTCCCTGGGTCGGGCCGTGTGTACCTGCGCTCGCTGGAATAACTGAACAAATACTAAATAATAAAATCAATTCGACAATAATCCTAGACGTGAGAGCAGTATGGCCGCTAGATTAGATAAAGGCTTCAGTTCAAAATCCCCTGTAGGTTACCCAGATATATACCCGAGGAAGACCTAAACGTTGTGATTACCAGTGTAAATAATACTCCATAATTATATGAATGCACGGTGAAGTAATGGATAGCGGCTCGGATTGAGGAATACCCTTGAGAAAGGTATGGATCCTGTTCTTTTCCTCTAACTATGGATAAATAGTAGGACGA